TCAACCAAAGGGTGAGAGCGTAGCTGGAAAAGCACACACTTTGTGTCTTATTGGGACTAAGCCTTTTGAAGAAGATAAAGAAAGAGGAGATGCTGTGATAGTGTGCACTTGTGAGAGCTCCCACTCAAACGCTGAACCGTCAAGGCTCACGGTTGACAGATGTCCTGAGACCAACATTTCCCACTACTACGAGTTATCAATGTGAAAAGTGGTGATGGTATGACCTAAACGCTATGAGACCAAGGAGACAGGAAGAGGCAGAGTACTGCTTGGATGGCAGCTGCTCCATTTATATAAAAAAAGATCTCTAGGACCCTTTTAAGAATGGAGGGAACACTTTCTATCACCGAGTGTGTAAGGCTGACCAGAGCATTTAGCTTAGCAGCGCTTTACGTGAGAGTGCACCCTTTTTAGGAGTCACTTAGAGAACGCATGGAAGTAATTTTGGTAAACACTATGGCCATCAGACAAAAGAAGACAGCTTGCGGAAAGCCTCACTCAACATATCCAGTTCTGTGGATGTTTAAATCATAACATCACGCTGAAATGCCCCATGACTGGCTCGGACCTTGGTCTCACAGACGGCTGGTTTTCCTCTATCTGATTCCTCCTTGCCCTCCAGCTGCCACTGCAGCGCCACAATGACCAAGGGTTTGGTCGACTGGTGTTTATATGATGGTTGTAGGTGTTATCGCAATCACCGCATCAATATCACGGATCATAGACCTTCCAGCTTCCCAGTTCTGTTAGCAGAAAAGACCTTTATATTGTGGACGGACAGAACTAATAGTAAGTACATACCAATATATCGATAAACCGACACACCAAAGTTGTGGTTCTTAGAATAAGGCGATTCTGAGGCACGGGCAACCGTCCGACAAGGGGGTCATCTTGGGACTTGGGTCTTTAGCGTAATTAGTTTTTTCTGCGTTGGCGATGGTGCCAAGGGGATCGTGATGTGGAGGTTGAATGATCCTGTTAATGGAAGAGGGAAGATGCTAGTTTTGACGAGGTTTCAATTTCTCTTTAAATGGGTCTACGAATGTATTTAGTTTGAGCTTCTGTACACGTGCTCAGTTGACGTGAAAACGCCTACTTCTTGTTTACGAGCGCAAGTTTTTCAGTTCTCTTTGGGGCCACTCACACATGCAATGGTTACCCTGAAGAGTTTCCTTGTTTCCTTGCAAGAACCCGAAAGATTAGGCTTTCTAATCATGCAAGAGTGGTTTGTAAACGTATTGCACACTTCTGAGGAAATGCCAAAAACCCGATTCATCACGGGTCCCTTAACCCCTGGCCATGCAAGCACAAGACCACCATGCATGCCGTCCCGCAGCGCACAAGTCCACATCCGACTTGTGTCTCATATTCGTGCTGAAATAAATACGATGAAAGGCAGCTCATTAGAAATGAAGGCGGTGGTGTTGCGATGAAGAAAATACCATGTGAAACGGCCCAGAACACGAAAAATGAACCACTTTCCTGCCCTTTGATTTCCGCATTGATGTGACTTCTCATCGGTGCAGATACCAACCTCTATCTGCTAAACGTTTAGAGACCTGCGGCGAGAGGTAAGCTAGTGGGCGTGCCGCGTCGATAGCGATGCGTGAGAGGTCATGCTAGATTGCTGGGGCATACCCTTCGCCGGGTGTCGGTCCGCACTCTTAGAGAGTCCGCCTTCCTCTAGGTAAGTTTAGGCCTTCTTCAACCTTCGACACTATAGTATAATAGAATTCTCTTTGAAGGCAAAAGTCGGGCTCAATATGGGGTATTATGGCGACTGAAACTGAGTATAGAGATGCGAAGTGGAACGACAGTGGAGAAAAAACGAAAAGAAACCGTCGACAAGGCCGAAAACGAAACCCCTCCCACTAGCAGTGAAGGAGGCTTGCTTGGGGAGAGCCACGTCCAAACGAGTTTTCCGGATATGCCAGCCGTTCCATCGGTTGATACGGCAATCAACCTAGCTGATCTCACACGTTATGCCAGCCACGCACCACATCCCGCGGTGGGCGGGACCAGCTGATGAAACGAACCCATCGCTGTAAGTAGTAGGCCAGAGGCCTTGACGCGCGCAATCTCGAGTCAGGAGTGTGGCGTCACCCCTCTGAGCGCAGTCCTGGCCATAGTAGTGATGGAAAGGCCTTCTATGAGCGCCTAATCCTGACTCGTGGCTTAAAGGGAATAATGGAGAATATAACTCCGAGATGTAGACTGTGCATCTCCGACCCGAATTTCTCCCTCAAACGAACGCACTACCCTGCTGTTTAACACGTGCTAACTCTCGTTACCCGAGTGCTTGCAAAAGTCAATCACTTTCGGTGGCAGTGCTATCTCTGCACAAATCACACTTTCTGCTGTTTTCTAGGTATGACGGCACAAGACTTGACGTAGAAGACAGCAAAAAGACCACAAAATGATAATCAATCATTGCACTGCTTTCTTGGAAATGTTTTATGACGAGACAGACATCTGACGAGCACTCCGAAATTTGCTGTTTCAATAAAGCAGGCTGTTTGCGATCAAGAAACTGTGTGAAAAAATTCATTCCACAAGAAAGTGAGGTATCGTATTCACCTTTTAGAACTCTATACAACTGAAACACTAGCACTATTGGTAAAACCATCTTTGTATAGGCAATGAAACATAGAAAGTATAAATAAGACTCGTAAAAAATAGACTGGTTTATTTTGCGGCTAGCACCTGCTTCATCCTGTTCAAAGCCGAACCTGCTTTGAACCACTCTATTTGTTGCTCGTTGAAAGTGTGATTGAGTGAAATCTCGACCTACAAAGGAACAACAATTGAAGGTGGCGGAGACCATGGAAAGTTAACACAAACCTTGGAGCCATCTGGCTTTTTGATTATGGCCTTGAGCGGTTTGCCTGGAGCAAAGTCCTTCAAGCCAACTATCGAAACTTTGTCACCGGAATCTATCTTATCATAGTCAGCAGGGTTCGCGAAGGTAAGTGGGAGCATTCCTTGCTTCTTCAAATTCGTCTCTATAATGTCCCATTTTATTTTCACTTGACATGGCTGAGATACAAAAGATTTTATCACAAAGCATACCGTGAATTCTGGCAAAGGATTTGGTGATGATGGCTCTTCCTCCAAGATGTCGTGGCTCAAGGGCGGCATGTTCACGACTTGATCCTTCTCCATAATTCTCATCTCCGATAGCTACCCATTTCGCTCCTTGCGCTTTGTAATAGCGCGCTGTTTCTGGTACGGTGCCAAAGGAATCTGTCAGGTGATTGCGAACCTGAACAGCAGCACCTCAAAGCAACCAAAAACTTAAACGGAGAGTTTATCCAAACAGAGCTTACCTTGTTCATCTCGCCATTTTCCGCGTTCACAGCTGTTAGGAATAAGTTGTTGGAAATGTTGTCAAGATGACCTCGGTATTTCAGCCATGGTCCGGCAGCCGAAATGTGATCAGTTGTGCACTTTCCTTTAACTTTGATCAGGATGATCATGTCCTCTAGGTCTTTGCCATCCCACTTATCGAAGGGTTGAAGAAGTTGCAGACGATCCGATTTAGGGTCGACCACAACCTTAAAAAAGTACACTTGTGAAGAGATTATGAAGGGAGACTTCCACTCACCTCTCCAGATTGTGATGGCGACTGGAAAGTATCCTCACCAGGATCGTACCCCTTCTGTGGCAGATCATCTCCCGTTGGAGGCTTGAGCACGAATTTTGAGCCTCAACAAGATGCACTGATATGATGCTTTTCAAGTTGTACTTCGAGTAAAGTAAACTCACCATCCGGTGCAGTAATCGGATCTTTTGTGGGATCGAAGTCGAGCCTTCCAGTAATGGAGAGTGCAGTAACAATGTCAGGAGATGTGACAAAACCGTGGGTAGCGGGATTCGCATCGTTTCTTCCAGTGAAATTTCGGTTATATGAAGTGACAATGGTATTTTTCTCTCCTTTCTTTACATCTTGGCGATCCCATTGTCCTAAATTTACCATGCTTGTTGGGTTCATAATTTTTGTAATTCTTATATAATTCAACGAACAGACTGAATCCACTTACTGAGATGCACTTCTCGATTAGGCCGACGTCATACTTTGCGATTCGATTAGCGAATCGAGCGAATCGCAAAGTATAACGTCGGCCTTACGATAGCTAAGGGCGGAACTGGGTTGTCAACATCCCCGCGGAACCAGCAAGTGCTCGTGTCCCAATGAGGCATCTACTTCCCGGTGTTCTCGGAGAGCTAGTCCGTGCCCGATATTTTGGAACCAATGAGTACCCTTGAAGAACCTGCACACTTATTGGCTCCTTCAACACTGATCACGAAAAATCTTTTTAATCGCTGGCGCATTCTTAGAATTGTGAATTCTTCACTCATGACCCTCGTATCGCGAGCTAATCCCAAAATTGGACACCTGCTAAATTATTAGGAGGCAATGAAATGGGAAGCGTTCCATTGCTACTGCGTTCCCAGAAGTGAACCAGTCAGACCGATAGGCGGACATGTATATTTAGACATACTTGAGAAAGTAAAAGTAAGAAAAAAGAATGCTCTACACAACAGAACCCGAACAGAAGAGCCGGAAAAACACTGTTGGCTTCTTGAGCGTGGGAACTAACCAATGCAAGGACCGCACGCATTTGCCAGCACCATTCCTCCGAAGTCGCTGAAAATTTTAGAAATTCCATCCCTTTCAATTGTAGCGCGAACTTGTTCCGATCCAGGTGTGATAGTGAACAGCGTTTTAGCTTTCAACCCTTTGTCGAGTGCCTGAAAAAATAGAACGGAGATCTTGAAGTTCAACATGGTAAAGACATATTGCTTGAAAGTTTTCAAGTCATTGAAGGGAATTTACTCTAAAATGCATATCAGACATCCCTTTGTGATGTGACGTACCGTCTACAGGATGTGCCCTTCTCGTTCATCTCGAGATGAGGATTCAGCGTGAGCTCAACACAGCCGCAAAATATGAGTGTGCTTTAAGAAGTTTCTACAAGCCCTAATAACTCACTCCCGAGAAGTCTTACAGAAAGGTACAAAAAGACCAACGAAGCCGGGGTTTGCCACCAAACCTATCGTTTGTTTCAGAAAAGATCCCGGGTCCGGAAAAATCGTGTGGAGGTCGGCGAGGGAAATGTCGAACGCTATTGCTGGACGGTGTATGCACTGAAATGGGCGCAGTTTACCGCGAAATTTATGAATCGATTCGGAGGCAGAGCGGAGAGAGGGAAAAAGTGGGCAATGGTTGACGATTGAGGGGAAGGTCAAGTTATCGGTGGGTGGGGCATGCATTGCGGTAATATGGAGCTAAAATCCCAAATCGCCTCATGGTCGAGACATAGCAAGGAGAACAAGAAGAAAGCAGATGAAAACTAGCTTGGAAGGGGGAGCCAAATATTGGTGCTGGATCAGCCTAAGTTCGAGAAATCTTGCCGGACCCCCATATCGCCGCAGAACTTTGTTGTGCGCGGAACAGCGTGCGGCGCCAACTAATATGGTTACAAGCAATTAGTAGCAGAAAAGCTCGATCACCTATACCACTCTAGCAAGTGGAAGTACAGATTCAGCGGAAATCATCAAAGACTCCGGCTGTGATTCTAAAACTTGGTTCTGCAGAGCCTGCATTCTTAGCTTCGGAATAAACGTCTTCTTTATAGGGGAGCGTAACGGTGTCGGAAAGTTGTATGCCCTCGAGCTTTGTCTACTGCTCTACGAGAGCACCCTGTAGACGGCTTGTTTAATTGATGGATCTTGAAGACTTCAACCTTCACGATCTCGACTTGAACTCTATACACTATTAGATGCGAGGCGTAGTCGAATGGCAAATTTAACACATTGACGACAGCGCGCGTTTTGGCTTTTTTGGCCACGTGGGACAGGGCGATTTTGCGAGCGCGACCGCCGCACCTCGGATCCGTGAATTTTTATTGATAACTTTTTAAAGCATCAGTGGTACAAAACCATTTCAGCAATATTCAATGCGTAGAAGATAATCGAGGATATAGTGGCAAAATTCCGATCAAAAAAACGTGTAATGGTGATGAAAAGGGAACCTTTAGTCTCCAAGTCCGCCTTTCTTGAAACCTGGGCATTTGGTTTTAAACAGTTGTATAATTCTTTTTGTGCCACACAGGTTTTGTACGATGGAATCTTTATTGGGCTTGACGTTTT